AAAATTACATATGAAATAAATTTATATTAAGTTTCATGGGGTTTTGTAATAGGACTCCTGGCTTACTGAGAAACTTAGGTGCTCTGTACTGAGGGATGCCTGGCGTAGAACAGAACAGCATAATCAGTGCTCTGAGCTCACAGGCCCCCAAGCAGCAGCTCAGGAACAGTGCCTTGCCTGTCTTTCCACTTTGGCTCGGGGGCAGCGATGCCTGCCCAGCATTGCACCCTTCACAGAGGAGGCAGCAGGTTAGTGGATTCCCATTTGGGCTGGGGGTAAGGGGTGTTACATCTGCCTCCCCTAGTCATGTTTTTGGAGGAATTAACTCACCTCTCTGAGTGTCAGCCATGTTGTTGTAAAAGTGGGAGTGCTGATTTTCTCCAGTGAGCAGCAGTTCCGTTCAGCCATGAGCTGAACCTGTGTAGATGACAATGCTGTGAAGGTATGTCTCCCTCTCCAGTTCCTGGGAGAAGGACAGCATTAGTAAAGAGACACAGGCATTGGTCCAGATCCAGGCCTCCAGCAGGCTCTCCAAAAGGCTCCCTGTTTCAAGGATTTGAGCTACACAGCATGTTCCTCTGAATTAAGAGTCACGGATTCCTCATTTCAGTTATCTGGGTATTTCAATCCTCTCATTTGGAATACACATGTCAAAATTACTTTAAAATATGTTGTATTCCAAATCAAGAACAGAAATAGTCTTTGTAAAAATAATATTGCTTATGTTTATCATGATACTATGATTGGTTACTTCAAGAAGAATAGCCTTAAATAGAGCTCTGCCTTTTAAATTGGGTTGAGGCACGAGGAAGAGCCCATAATGGTGCCCCTGTCAAAATGGAAACAAAAGGGACACCAGGCACAGCCTGCTCCCGGCTGTGGTGAGAGGCACAGTCCCAGGAAAGGTCACCTCAGCTGGGCTTCAGGCCTGGCCATGATTATTTACCTAGAAACAAATCAGTTACCTCAAACCTCAGGAAATGGGGTATTGAGATTGTTTTAATTCTTCCTTAGGTAAGAGTTCATCCAAAAGGCTTAATAACCATTGTTGACTATTTCTTAAATGTATTAGAAACCACTTATTTTCTCTCAATACATTGAAAACAACTTAATCATTGTTAGCAATTCCATTCTATACAGTGATGGTGGGACCTGTGCTAAACTCTGATTTATGTGTGGGTTCTGATACTTAACATTCACATGTACTTGTTTCTGGTAATTTTCTTTTTTCAAACTGTGGTATAAGAATACTCTAAAGTGCTTAAGGGTTCTAAGTAGAGAACATTCACTGAACATATACTTTGTTCTAGCCATTATGCTGGTTGCTATGGAAATAATAGAACACAGCCCCAAACGCGATACATGCCATACGTATATAGACAATATATATCATACATATTTCTAAAGATAGTAACATTGTGTTGACAATGCCTGTGGAAAGGGGGAGCTATTCGAATTAAAATAGAAATGGCTAAAAAAGATTCATGACTTAAAGTTTAATTTCTGATTGAACTTGTCATTAAAGACATTTCCTTCAATTAGAAATTCATTTTTTCTTTTTATTAAGCTTTTTGCCTAATGGTATGAGAAAAGTAGCATTCCTTTGCTTTCAGAATACATTTTCAGAGATCTTTAAGGAGCTAAAGTTGAGGACTACCATCAGAATTTATATATAAAGTCTCTGTATGAATTGGGTTTCTGGGAAATTACTTCTAAGCCAACTTTCTTAGAATGATCTAGCCAACAAATTCTGGAAACCACAGGAATCATTTAATCCTAGATATAAATGTGCATAATGTTCATTTATACCTACTTTCCAAAAGTCTCTCAGACATCTGTAGGGCATGAGGTTATTGTTTGCCATAAATTAAGAGGCCACACCACAGAAATTCTGCCCAGGTCTTTGCTTTTCAGAGTGGGTTGGGGAACTACTTTCCATACCTCATATAGGAAAGGCAGTGCTCTCCTTCTGGAGCAGTGGGACCCAGGGAAGTTGTGGAGCCCCTGGGAAGACAAAGTCAGAGGCCGAGAGAACTGGACCCAGTGTCACATGGTAGTAATGAGATGAGGACTAAATAGAGGACGGGTGGTAGCAGCATCGCCTACCTGGATGGAAGCAGCAGAGCTGGGGCACTTCCGGTGGTGAGCATGCACATAGGTGTTGGAATTGGAAGTACGACCTCATCTGGGGTCCACCTCTCCCCTTGTTTGCCATGAGACGTTAGGGAGTTAACAGCCTTGCTGATCCTGAGTTTTCTCATCTCTAAAATACTCACCTGCTAGAGTAATCAGGAGGATTAAATGTGATAAAGTTGGCTTATCTCCAGCATATTCCTTTTACAAAGCATTCTTCACGTACAGTGCTTTTAATCCTCAACCCACCTTGGGGTTAAGTTAGGTACTGGTACTATCCCCACCTTAAAGAAGAGAAAACAAAGGCTCAACGCTATTACTTGCCGAAGGTCACAAACCTAGAGAAGTGGCCCAGCAAGGACTTAGACCTGGGATCCTGATGCCCGTTCCTGTTCCCATGCAGAGAGGACTATGCCTAGTGCCTCCCGGTGGCCAAGTCAGACCAGAAAGTTTCCCAGAGTTGCGCAGAAGAAAAGAGCTCCAGCAGATGCAGTATTTGACCATTGGACAAGTCTAAGCATTTCAAGAGGTGTGGCCTCCAAAAGAATTGATGAAAGAGGTCTATCAAGAAGCCTTGCAAGCAAGGTTTAGATGGCAGCTTTTCTGCAGCTCCATAAACATCCCAGCATTAACTTATCACCACCATAGACTGGATTGTGTCCCTGGGCCATTGCCGATAGGAAACCAAAGCCCAGACGACAAAGGGACTGGTAAGCTAGTACGCTGGTCCCATAGATTGCAAATCATTCTCTTCATGAATAGTCCCAGCAGTTTCAAAGGAAAGATGTGTCGCAGAGAATGTCAACTTAAGCTTTTAAGTTTAGTAAAGTAAATCTAAATTACAAAAGTAAAAAACAGTCATAATGAAAAAGTCTCTCTAAAGAAAAAAAAACTTACACCATTGTTTTCCTGAGACCACCACAGGTTGGGAAATAATTCAGAGGCAATACTGTCGCCGTGTAGTCCGAGCTCCTGATTAGCTGGCTGTGTGTGGGTTGGGTCAGTCACCATGACAACAAGCTCATCTTAAAATACCCATTTAACTGACTTATCATTGGAACAGTGAGCTGTGAGAAAGGAGTGGTCTCCCAGTACCGCTGGGGGTTTTCTTACAGCTCTTTTGTTCTTGGTTGCTCCAGCTGAGTTCTGCCTGTAACCCCACTTGCTAAGATACATGCCACAATCTTTAAACAGAGTAACACACCAGGAGAAATGTGCTTTAAATGTTACAAAGGGAATAGCAAAAGCGAGAGTGAATCTGGAAAAGTATCAGAAACACTATTGGTTTTCTAGGGCTTAGTCACTAAATAAAAGTACAGTAAGACTCAAGGTCTAGTTGTAGAGTTTGAAAATGGGGGACGAAAATTCTGAAAAAGGACGGACATCAGGTGAACATCGGGAGTGCAATCCCTTTTGTGAAGTGTGATCCTTTTGCCATCTTTCTGTTGGCGCAGCACTGGTGAGTGAGTGGCCAGTGCACTTGTGCTCACGGGCAAAGTAGCCCGCTTCTTGCAGAAGTTTACACAGCAGTGTTTAGACACACTGAGCGTTGTGGATTCCCACTCATTCTCTTTAATTTCAGACAAAGCTGAGATTGTTGGAAATACTCTTTATTTTCTAGGATATTTGTATTAGTGGGCAAAATTCACAGCTTTACTAAGGTGGCCTGTCACTAGGTTGAAAATGCCCCTGTCATTTTTAATCGCTGTGTTCTAAGAATATATTTAGAGCTGTTTAAGTTCTGAATAGTACTCGTGACAATACTAGCTAATTTCACCGTGCAGTTGCTTATGTACCAGGCATGTTTTAAGCACTTTACAGGTTTTAACTCAGTGCCACTCAGCTAGAAAGTGTTCAGTTAATTTCACTTGTGTAATTATTCATCAACCAGATCTCTTAACTGATTTGGTTGAGTTCCAGCTAGTTTTTTCGTATCTCTATTTATGGACTCTAATATAAGCCATGGATTTTTATGTAATTTTAAGCTGATTATTTCCTCTAAGTTTTTTGAGGATTAGCATCACTTTGATAGAAGAACCATGTAAGACCTACCTCCTCCACCCTCCCTCAAAGATTCCTATTATCTTCAACTCAAAGGGTGATAAATGTAGTGTTCAAGTCCTTGTAAGCCTCATGGTGATTATATTAGAGGTAACAAAGGAGAAGAAAACATCCTAGATCCCTAACGGAAAAGAATAGCTTAGTCATACAGACAAGAAACACTAAAGACAGGTAGACATTAGATTAATTGTTAATTTGTGATAAACTGGACTGCATTAACTATTTCTCAAAAACGATTAGGTAAGCCACAAAGCTAGGAGAGAATATTCACAACACAATCTGACCAAAAGAAAATCTTACATCCAGATTATATAAAGAGCACTTATAAATTATAAAAGCAAACAAAAATAGGCAAAACAGTTGAACATACTCTTCACAAAAGAAGGCATATGAATAGCCAATGAGCACATGAAGGTGGGAAACACCACTAGGCATCAGGGAAATGCAAATAAGGTACCATTCTTACCCACTAGAATGGCTGAAATATAAAAATGACAATAACAAATGTTGGTGAGGGGTGGAGCAACTGGAACTCATGCTTGGCTGGCAGGACTGCAAAGGACTGCTTGGGAAGGCTGTTTCTCAAAGTTAAATACAGACTTATGACCCTGCACTTCCACCCCTGGGTATTCACACAAGAAAAATAAAAACTTACATCCTCAAAGATTTGTGCAGAAATGTTCATAGGAATCTCACTATATAAAAACTCCAAACTAGAAACTGCAAATGTTTCTTAAAATAGATCAAAGTATAGGCATATATGATGGGATACTTCTGCAGTAAAAGGAATAACTACTGTATCAGTAACATGGGTAAATCTCATAGGACAAGAGAACGCATAGTGTTTGATTGCATGTATGTGAACTTCTAGAGCAGGCAAAACGAATTAACAGAATGAGAAGTCAGAATAGCGTTTAGGGGTGGAGGTGGGATATCTTGATGGAGTAGTGTTACCTGCTGTAGCCAGTTGTCAAAATCATTCAACTGAAACTTTTCATTTTATTTCTATATTTTTGTCTCTATTAAAAAATGTTAACTTGTTCTGTGCACCAAGATCAGAGAGCCCTTTGTAAGAATCAAATCATCTTCTGATTTATAGCCTAAATTACTAAAATTTAGCTAGATGCATCTTGATTACGTGTGTCAGCTGCGATTCTAGCCAGTGCCTTATGTCTTGTCAGTGTCAGAATCACTGAATTTGTTGTGTTTTATTCAGAGTAGGTTGAAGTACCTTTTTTATGGATGAAATAGAGACTGGGAGAGCTGCCTTTCCATATAACTTTCGTTGTTACGAGTTCATTTAAACGAAGCCTGGTCCACAAGGCCCCTGCTGTTATATAAATATGACTTCAGAGACCACACTGTCATAAATTAATTGACCAAGACTGTCCGTTTTCTTGCAGGTGTACAAGGGAGAAGAAGCCACATTCCAGATCTCAGGCCTCCAGACCAACACAGACTACAGGTTCCGTGTGTGTGCGTGCCGGCGCTGTGCGGACACCTCTCAGGAGCTAAGCGGGGCTTTCAGCCCCTCTGCGGCTTTCGCGCTACAGCGAAGCGAGGTCATGCTTACCGGGGACATGGGGAGCTTAGATGATCCCAAAATGAAGAGCATGATGCCTACTGATGAACAGTTTGCAGCCCTCATTGTGGTTGGCTTTGCAACTTTGTCCATTTTATTCGCCTTTATATTACAGTACTTCTTAATGAAGTAAGCAAACCCAACAAAACTAGAGGTATGAATTTAATGCTACACATTTTAATACACACATTTATTCAGATACTCCCTTTTTTAAGCCCTTTTGTTCTTTGATTTATATACTTGTTTTACAGATTTAGCTAGGGAAAAAATATCAGTGTTTTGGTGCACCTTTTTGAAATGCAAAACTAGGAAGAGGTTAAACTGGATTTTTTTTTAAAAGAAAAAGCAAACCAGATACCAAAAGCTAGCTTACGTTCTCTCTTAAATTTTCAGATTTGCCTTTATTCTATTTTTTCACTGATGTCTTTTGCAAGCCTTAGATTTTTTTTTTCCGTGTTACAGTTTAGTAATTTATATTCACCAGTCACTTCTCACATCTTGATCATCTGTTTCTGTGAACATGAGTCACAGTGCGTGTAGTTACAGGGCTAGGATTTCAGTGTTGTCGGAGTCTTACCACACAACCACCGCCACATCCAGAGATGTGTTCACTCAGATAAGGCTGCCCTAAACAACTGTTTTGTCACTCAGTTAAACTTTGTTTATTAGCTCATCGAAATGAAAATGTGTACTTTAATCTGAGATGTTTTAATAATCTGTATTTCTTATGATTTTAACACTATGAGCTGCCTGTCTAAGAAATCAAGTAACCAAAATGCACCTATAAATTGTGGAGCATTGTAGATTTTACCACGTCAATTCATAGCAGTAACTTTACGAGGGCATTGTGCAATAGTTAGTTTCCTTGTTCAGCTATTTTAAAAGCTGCTTTAACTTGTTTGTCTTTGTATATAACTACTTCTAATCTAATCACTAGAGTTATTATATATTCTGTTATGTTTGACCAGAATTATATGACGAGAACTGGTGACAGTTTAGTGCCTCTGCCCATTGTCCATGATTTACACTAATTGTGAGCAGTCTTCTTACATGTCAGCTCATTCTTCTTGAAAGATTTGCCTTTAGGCTGTTCTTTGAGGTATCAATGAAGTGATTGAATTTCAACACCTTAATTCAGTGCACATAATATGAATCTAACAGCAGATGAAAACTGATAAAACCCAAAAGAGTCATCTAAATTTGTAGTTCCTATTTCTGGGGTTGACCTGGCCACATGTGGAGAGGGAATGGTCTTCGGTGGTAAGCACAGGGTGTTTGGGGGTCAAGGAGCCTAGATTCTCTCCCTGGATCTGTCACTAACTTGCTGCGTGACCTGAACACGTCACTTTACCTCTCTGTGCCTCAGTTTTCCCATGCATTAAAAATAAAATAAAAAAAAACAAAATGGGGATTCTAATGTTTGTAAGTGCTTTGAGATCCTTGATCAACAGGTGCTATTGGAGTGCAAAGTGTTACTCTTGCATGTCTATTTTGAGTCATGAGATAATCAGTTTTAACCCAAAGTCATTGGATTATTTATATGAAGTCCATAATGTTCGCGTACCTCAGGGACATTTAAGAGTTGGAGGTGCAAATATATTCCAAAAGGGTGCAACAGACACAGTGTATCCCCCTGCTTCTGTTTTTGTATATTTTTGCTACTTGGTTTTTCTTGATCATAGCTATTTTGTGCTTGGTCTATGTTGTCTTAAGATGCAGTATCCTGTACTAGCTTAAAATATTCCCATACCAAAGTCATGGGGAAACCAACATTATTTTGTTTTTGGTTTATTTATACTATATTCTGCATACAGTACTTTAAATGCCAATTACAGTGCAATCTTTATTTATTGTAAAATTTTTAAAATGTACTTATGTACTAATTTTTCCTTGTAGCATGTTATTTTATGTTTTATACTTTTGTAATTTTAGGTCAGTCTTGTTCCTCGGCAACATCTGTAGTATTATCATTTTCTGACATTTTCTTGTTTTTAATGAGCATCTAGTGCATTAAATGCCAAAAAAAAAATCCATTATCAGTGATTGAAACGTTTACATGTACCCCAAAAATACCGTAATCATCTCTTGAAAGAAAGTGCTAAGATCAGTGAATTATTCTGTGTGCCTACATTGATGTAGTAAGTACTAGAAAAGTTCTGTATTTTGTTATTGACTATAATTATTAGTTTAATTAGCCTTGCAAACTGATGGCATCAAGGTAAATATATTTTTGCCAAAGTTCAGGCCTTCCAAAACTCATCCCTCTAAAATATGTGTTATGACCCACTCTGACGGTGCACCTGCATCTTCTGAAACAATTTCATGCAGGTGTTTTGGGGAGAAGGCATTTTTTAAGCAATGAAGATTCAACTGAGTCGAAGAACCCTGTTTGCAGAACAAAAAGCGTCCCTTTTTGGAAACACTTCAGAACTGCTGCTATAAAGAAATCCTCTGAATTGGTTGAAATTTTTTAAATGAAATAATATTTTAGGCCAAAATTGCTATGAACATTTGATCCTTTTGAGATTTTCATACTATCTGTGTAACCACCAGGAAGCTGAAGTGTGTGAAACACTAGCTGACGGCACTTTATTTTATTGCTCTCCATTATTTGGTGTTCATTGTAATCCCTTCAGTCAAAAAGTTGTTACTCTATCTGGCACTGTTTTCTATCACAATATGTGTACGTGATATTGATATATAACTATATATATATTGCCATTACACACGAACAATAAAATAAAGTGTTATGTTAACCTTCTCTCTTTGCCCTTTTGCAATATGTAGGAACGAGTGAGTGGCTTTCTGATGCTCTGTATGTCAGACTCCTCCCTGGCACAAGAAATTCCAGTCGTGTGAAGCAAAATGTCCTTTGTCCTCAAAGACATTGTTTAAAAAGAAAACTTTTTTAAGAAGATTTTTTGCATATTATCTGCCTTGTTCCTATCAACTTGAAACGTTGGCATTTTCTAACCGCGTTTTGTTGGCTACAGTGATTCAGTATTCCTGTCGAAATTGAAAAGTGCCCTAATTGAATGTGTTTGAATGTTATCCTTGCACAATTCTTTAAATTGAAAGACAAAATGTTTTACCTCACTGTTGGACATACATTCCAAGCTTTTCAACTTTAGGAGAGAAAAAAATAATCATATGTTTTCCTGTATTGTAAATTTTAGACTATTTCATATACATTGTATTAAAACTGCCATATCAATTTTAATGTATAGATTTTGCAAATACTATGCTATATGTAATACCTAACTGTACCTGTAGTGTATATGTAATATATTTATGCCCAATAAATGTTTTAATTCTTTCTGACTCTAGGGTTCTTCTGCCATGACTAGGATTGCTTTTGTTGTTGTTGTTACTTTTTAAAACCTTAAACCACATCCCAGAAGTCGTAAATTCAAATGCCTGGAGAGGCCAGGCGGGGGTGCAGTGCAGGGTGCTTCCTGTGCCATCTGAGGGGCGGCTGCAGCCCCGCCCTTGTCTGAGGTCCTGCGGGATTGCCACCCGCCATCACCAAGGCTGATGTTTCACAGAAACTACGAGTCAGACCTCGTGTGTGAGCCAGCAAACATTGGAATGTGGACCAGATAGGCCCAGGGGGCGCCAGTTCATTGTCAGAGTCTGCGTGGATAAAGGACCTCTTTGTCTAACATTTTTTCTCTGTATGCCAAACCCGGGATCCCAGGTCTACCCCCGTGACTCGCCCAGTTTTGACCTCCTTCCCTCCTCCAGGTCTCATTCCACAGCAACAGCAATAAAGTGGGATGTGACCACCGTGGCCACGGCTTCATCATTATAAACTCTCTCTTCCCCACTCCATGAGGGAAAAGTAAGTGGAGAAACTAATTGTTTATAGGAGAAAGAGAGCTTTGAGTTACAAAGAATAGTAGGTCATTCTTTGCGGTCAAAGTAACAAGTTGAACACATCAAGTTTTGCATGCTCCAGACTCCACCCGTAAAAATACGGTAAAGGATTTTTTTAAGTCACAACTACTCTCGACACTGGGAAGAAGGAGAGAGAATTAGCAGCACCAGAATTTTAGAAACCCGACTGAAGAAAGCCACATTCTAATTTAGTAAGGGAGAAATGACCGCCAATTCAGTTTACATGCAGAAAGTGCTGAAGGCTTACAAGCGGACAGAAGCGTGTCCCTCTGACGTGACCGTGAAGAGGGAGGGAGGAGTCCAACGTGGTAGGAAGCTGTTTAAAATGCTGCGACATCCATTAAAGTCCCTCCCTGTCTTCTTCAGCTGGGCAGCTGCCCCTCCACCCTGGAGAAACCAGAAGTTTATCCACAGGAGAAGGTAACATTCTCCCAGTCCAGGGGCTATTTTAAGAGTTACCTGAAGATGAAATGGTTCAACAGGGGCACCCTTAGTAATTCTCAGCCATGGCTACACAGTAGCACCACCTGGGGAGTTTTTCAGATTCTGTGTTCAGACCCTACACCAAGAACATGAGTATTTCT